AGGTTTGGCAGATTTGCTTAATTTGAGTTGACACAATTGTGAAAAAACTCGACGCGTTTAGCGGGAGTTGAACCTGCGTAGTAGAGAGGGCCTTTACCGCAAGCCAACCACCTGAGCTAAAAACGTCCCAGCTCGTGCCATGAATTTAATATTCATAGCCGTTTTTCTTCTTCTTTCCTTTCAGCCGTCGTTGTGAAAGTTTGAAAATATTGATGCATTCCTCCATTTTGCAACCCTGACGATGGCCTTTGTGGCTACTTTTGACGATCCTGACAGGTTCTTCTGTTTTCATCCCCTTGTAGGTGTTCTTTAAAGTCCGCAAGATCACGTGCCGAAATTTATTCCTTTCCACCCATTTGTCCGCGATGTGTTCCTCCGGTCCCACTTCTATGATGGTTGATCCTGTAGTTAATGGGACGGCGCAGCAGTGGTGAATAGTAGCTCTGGCTGTCATATGATCTGCCGCTCTACAAGGAGCGTTACGAACCCTCACTCGTTCTCGTCAACATCATGGTCAAATGTCCATGCCTTGTACCAATCCTATCAATCTAGCTATTAATTTTTGAGGGAAGCAGTTTCCTTCTCCCTTCGTTTTTTTTGAAATTGGACATTCGTTGAGCTCTGCCATATATATTTCAAAGATTCTTGTCTATTGTTTCAAAATGTCGAATTGGTACGAAGCGGATGTGAAATACCCTCTCTGTCGAACTACTAAGTAATGTTATTTAGAAGACTATTTGGCAAGAATACGTAGCTTTCGATAAATTCTCGTCGGGCCGTTACAATTATATAGGGAGGGGTAAAAATTAACATGCTGGTAATTAAATTATCACAAAAGGCAAATTAGTCATGGGGGTGAGGGAGGGGGTGTGGGGTGTGGGGTTGGTAGTAATCAGCTGATGAGGGTTTGTTGAATCCGGACAGGGGATGGGGGCAAGGGGGGTGGGATGAAGCGGTTGAAAGCGCGAAAAGATGCAGGAAGTTACGTTACCGTTGGCCAAGCCAAACTCGGGGCCTGCAGGAAGTTCTTTTGCGCGCACAGGACCGACTTCCTCAACCTGATCGCGGTTGGTGTCTCAGCACTCCTTCTTAGGCAGCGCTGTTTTATCCACCGCGGCCCTGGAAGTCACCAGGGGTATCCAGTTTTTTCACCCACAACACAGTCGAAACGAATGCATGCAGGTCCTTGTACCTTGTTCTGTATCATCAGAGTTGGTAATTGGGAGAGGCGGCGCAAGGGCTAATAGAGTTGGGAAATGCGGGTTCTGGAAGAGGCAAGCGCAGGTTCACCCTTCTGATGTTGATACTCCATGACAGATAGGGCAGTTATCTTATGATTTCATACCACATGATGAGGGCAACGTTAGCAACGCGTCTTTTACATTAAAGCGGCCGCTCAAAAAGGCGCAGCTGAACCGGTGCAGAGAATTGGGTCATGTAGAGAGCAGTGATATCCACATTGAGGTGTGCCTCTTATCAAGCAACAGGCGGCGTTCTGCTTGCAGACCACTTGCTTAATATATTAATTAGAAGAGGACGAACATTGCATACTGCTTGTTTGAGCCTATGAAGAAGGGTGGGAATGAATAGGGACAGTGAGATTTGCCTGTTTGGTTAATTTGACTGTGAATTGTGTAGCCGCTAGCCACGTTCAGCATGCGTATGACGTTATCCCAGAACCTGTTTCGGCTACCTTTTCCAGACTGTCCCCACGATGGATTTAGCAGTGTTCTCTTTAAATAAATCCCGACAGCCAATGGATTCCACTATAGTTCATGGCTTTGTTAAATGGAGAGCAACCCGAATAAGCCTGTGCCACCTGTGGGACAGCAGGTCACAGGATGTAGGAGGAGACGGCTAGGAAAGTTCACCAGAATTACTGAGTATAAGAACACACTCGACAGCAGATACCCTCATCTAGCTTAGCCCATCAGTCAAGGTAGTTAGAGAAGTGTGGCCGCTAGGTGTAACTTAGCTCCAGAGAGCCGCCGACGGGGTTTTTTTCACTTAAAGTTTGTCAAGCGTAGTCACCACCTGCACGAAGCAGATGATTCGACATTCTACAGCCTAGGCGGCGTAACACAACCAGATTCACCTACACTCCAGTTACGTACATCAATACAAGTCATGGTGCCATATCTTGCCAGGCGAATATTAATTAATGAAAGCTTATTTTTAAAGCACATTTTGGGCAGGAGTCCCCTTCATAGCATAAGCGAGATGCTTGTGTTCTGTAAGCACGGCAAATTCACGACCATTGAGAAAGTGCCCACAATGCTCGATTCGGTATCGATCTTACGAAGCCAGGCTGGCTGAACTTGATTTGTTTCCAACCAATTACGGACAAATACATAGTGACTTGATTTATACTTACCAGATTGTTGAGTTTTTATTGTGCCCTACTGTTCGATGTCTTCCTCGATTTGTCTGGGCCGGGCTGGGTGCATGGTCACGTTTTTAAAATGTAGCGGACGTCAGACGGAACGCTTTCTCACAGAGGTTAATTGGAGCATGGAACGGAGTCCATAGCGTGGTAGTCATTTCAGAAAATATAAAAATATTTGCATGGAAACTATATATTTATTTGCTGAGAAACTGTTGCGCCCACGATGAAGATTGTGTCAGCGGCGGCAATTTGCGCCTGGTTCTTGCATACATTTGTCTTTACACTTAGCATAGAAATTGCTGTAGAAATTGATTTTATTGCTATTTTGGATTTGGATAGGGTGCTCAAGAGCGAAAGTCTTATAACCTTAATGAAGATACTCTTGGGAAAACTGGTACTTCACTTAATTTCACTTGACACTACTTGTAGTGCGACTTCACAGACTGGCAAGCAAAAATCCCTTGTCCCAAGTTCTCCTCCTCTAGGTATTCTAAAACTGACACCGGCAACGTTTTCTTGTCGGCACGATTTTTCTCTTATGTCCTCTGATTGCACTCCTTTACTACTACCTTATTTATCTACTTCGCGCTGCACCTACCAGCCAAACACCCTTTATTTGCATTCATACTCGTATCAATTTTTGCACTATCCAAGCTAAATTAGTCCACAACTGAGGGACCAGGTCCATTTAAACATGGATGAATTTGAGAAACCGAAGACAGGACTGAAATGGTGTTGTTTTAAACAGTCACGTTTCTTTTTTACAATGGACGGAAAGGTGTTAGGTGATCTGAAAGTAGCAGAGTTGAGAGGAGAGCTAGAAAAAAGGGACCTGGATAAAAACGGAGTCAAGCAAGTGCTGATTGAACGCTTGAAAGAGGCAAATTGATTACTTACTGTCCATTTTTTAGGCACTGATATCTGAAGGGAAGGATCCGTCAGTTTACACGTTCAGTGCGATGGAAACAGTCTTGCCATCAGCCGAAGTTTCATTGGTTAGTCGCGTTTCTTTTTTCGGTCATTGATTGTTGTAGGTGGATACCGAAAAATCCGGCATTCACGGTGAGTCGGAGGTCCTATGCTTCTTTTCCGCATTGCTTGTTCTGAACTTTTCTGACAACTTGACCGGCCTTAAGTGGTTCCCATAAAGATTCTATTCCGTAAAATAATGCACACTGCCTGTATATGTTTGCAACTCGACGTTTAACGGATACATAGTTTAGTTGTATCTCTCACCCTGATGCGATTCGTGGCGGATCTTAAACCTAAACCATGGTTACCGATTTCATACATACTTCAAGTCTATTAATTTAGTTTTGTAAATTTTTTTTTATTTTAATCCTGGTGGGGGCTCTCGTAGTTCACACAGG